GGTTGACTATAGATGAGCTGTGCTTAGATTTTTAGGATTTTTTTCCACCTGGTTTTTAGCTCTCACTGAGCTACACTTGCACCACCACCAATCCACCAGCTCCTTGTCCACTCCCAGTCTTCAAGGCCTGGCCCTTGTTCTTTCTGTAGTCGACTTTGATGTTTTGTCAAATGAAGATCAGTTGAATTTGAACTCTGGGTTTCCAGTGAAAATTCTCCACTTTAAAGTAACTGAAATGTATGTCAGCCAGATTTGCCTATCTTCTGATCATTTTACTTTCTCCCTGTAGTCTGACGCAGGCTGGGAAGAATACTATGATTACATCTTTCCAGAAGATGCTGCCAACCAGCCGAACCTCAAGCTCTTGGCCATGGCCAAACTTTGGAAGAAACAGCAGCAGGAAACGGAGGCTGCCGAGCAAGACCCAGACAGGGACATTGGGAGTGAATCCTGATCTTGTTCATGCTGGTGTTTTATTATTTTTATAAATTAATAGTTTGGAACCCTGTGACTCCTGTAAGTTCTTGTATATTTTATCAGTAATGAACTGATTGAACTCTTTGGCAGCTACTTTTTGAATGATTTTTTTAAATGCTCTTGGGCTAGTTAGGTGGGTGGGGGCTTGTGAGTAAAGGAATTTTTTTAACAGCTGGATTTCTTTGACTAAATCCAAATATTTTTTATCCACACAATGCATTAGGCAATCTAATTGAGGTAACATTTAGTATCGATTTTAGATGGAAATGCAGGCTTCTGAAAGAATTTTTTTCTAGAAGTTTTCAAGTTATGTTCTACAGTATCTTTTACAGTGTAGTTTTCTCATGCTTGTCTTTTCATAAAGATATTTTATGTGTTTATCTGAAATCTTTAACTTTTTCATGTCTTCAGAGTCATACTTAGTTCATTCCCAGCTGTCCCACTTAGTGATATATAACTCAACCTTTATTTTCAGTTTCTTCACTCATAAAATGGGCTAATGCTTTGCCAACTCACTTTGAAGATTAAATACAGACTATATATAATGCATAGTAAGTGCTCAATAAAATGTTCATTCCTGGCCACTTGCTTAAATATGTTCATTCCTTATAGAGTTGAATGTACTTGTATTAACTTCTAAAATCCTTACTTTCATGGCCATTTATACTAAGTGCTTTTCAAACAATTAATTGGAAAATAATTGACAGTGACTATATTTCTGAAAAGGTCTTTTTTACCAAGAACAAATAAGTCAAATTTCAGTTATGCCCTAATTGTTTTCCCAGACTGGTTAAGCTCTGTAATGGCTTGTTTAAAAAATAGTAGTAGGACAAAGCCGTTTTAATAAAAACAACCTGGTACTGGTACAAGAACAGGCCTACAGATCAATAGAACAGAGAACCCAGAAATTGACCCAAACCATTATGGTCAATTAATATTTGACAAAGGAGGCAAGAGTATACAATGGAGTAAAAACATTCTCTTCAATAAATGGTGTTGGGAATGGTCAGGTACATGAAAAACAATGAAACTAGACCACCACCTTACACCATACACAAGAATAAACTCAAAATGGATAAAAGACTTAAATGTAAATAGCAAAACCATAAAAATCCTAGAAGAAAACAGGCAGTAAAATCATAGATATCTCAGGTAGTGGAATTTTTGCTGATACATCTAAGGCAAGAGAAACAAAAAAATAAACAAGTGGGACTACATTAAACTGAAAAGCTTCTGCACAGCAAAAGAAACCATCCCCAAATTGCAAAGGGAACCCATGGTATGGGAGAACATATTTGCCAATGATACATCTGATAAGAGGTTAATTTCCAAAATTTGCAAAGAATTCATACCACTCAACAAAAGGAAGACAATCCAATTAAAAGATGGGCAAAGGACCTGAATAGACACTTCTCCAAAGAGGACATACAGATGGCCAACAAACATGAATACTCAATATCGCTAATCATCAGAGATGCAAATTAAAAACACAATGAGGTGTCACCTCACACCTGCCAGAAAGGCCACCATCAAGAAATCAGCGAACGACAAGTGCTGGCGAGGGTGTGGAGAAGGGGGACCCCAGTACAGCTGGTGGGAATGCAGACTGGGGCAGCCATTGTGGGAAACAGTATGGAGATTCCTCTAAAAATTAAAAATGGAGCTGCCTTTTGACATAGTGATCCCACTTCTAGGAATATACCTAAGAATCCTGAAACACTGATCAGAAAGAATATATGCTCCCCTGCGTTCACAGCAGCACAATGCACAATAGCTGAGACCTGGAAACAGCCCAAGCTCCCATCAGTAGGTGAGTGGGTAAAAAAGCTGAGGGACATTTACACCATGGAACACTATGCAGCTGGAAAGAAGGATCTCGTACCTTTTGGGACAGTATGGANGAACACTACGCAGCTGGAAAGAAGGATCTCGTACCTTTTGGGACAGTATGGAGGGACCTGGAGAGTGTTATGCTGCGTGAAATAGCCAGGCAGAGGAAAGAAAAACATCACATGATCTCACTTATATGTGAAATTTAAGGAACAAAATAAATTGACGAACAAGATAGGACCACAGACATGAAAGCATGAAACAGACGGACAGATCTCAAAGGCGGGAAGGAGGGCTGGAAGAGATTAACCAAAGAACTTATAAGCACGTATGCATAGCCCATGGACAAAGACAATAGGTGAAGGCCTGAGGTCGGGTGGGGTGGGAGATGGGTGGAGAGGGGCAAAGGGGGGAAAATGGGGGACATCTGTAATACTATCAACAATAAAATAAATTTAAAAAATAGTAATAGGTGTGCCATGACAATATCCCATAATCAAGTGTGGGAAACCCTAGGTCAAGGGTTAAGCCTTGTTAGCCAAATCTCTTTATAGGCTTCTCAATGTCTTCGATAGGCTGCCATACATATGAATTACCAGTAACAAGTTGGCATGTTCCCCAAACTTACTGGACAAGGGAGTCATTTCTGCCTAGAGCACCAATAAGTACCTCCCAGTGTCCTACAGTAGAAAATGTCTGTCAGTAACACCTGACACATTAAACTTACCTTCCTTTAGAACATGTGAAACACATGTTCTAAATGCTAAATGAAATGCAAATAGCACAATTAGGATAATGTATTTGATGGTACATTGCTTACATTCTCAAGCAAAAAATACTTAATTAACTGACCTGAGATTGTTCGCTTTACCCTGGCCTACACTTCATAAGCCTGTCCTTTCTTGCTCTGTTCACTGCCCGAGTTACTGGCCTAGAACTGTGTATCTTAAAGACTGTTTTTCATCTGTAAGGACACAGCAAATTTATTATCTGTAAATTCAATTGGGCAAGTTTATTATTAAATTTGCAAATATATTATTCATCCATGGGAGTAAAAGTTATTCAATATGTTACTAAATTCCATCTTGAAAATAAGGTAGTTTTTGAGGGCAGAATGAAATAGGACTGTTGGGGTAAAAGGCAAAACTGTTCTCAGCCTCACTGGCCTACTCAGGGCCAGGATCAGCTGTGGGGTGTCAGGTTCTGACTGTTGAGTGGTGAGGTCTGCCTAGTCAGTGAGGAGGGACATTTGTGATTTTAATATTTTTTGGCAAAGGGTGAGATGAAAACAGGTCAAAATGCTATTAAAAGTAACTAACCATAGAGTCTGGCTAAAACTCTGTTTCTGTTGCATGTATGCATAAGAAAAAAAAATCGGCGATCAATGCAAACTCAACCCTTTCTGGGAAGTGTGTGTAATGCATGAAGGAAAAAGATTCTCTCGTGGTAGAACAAAGGATTCATTTCTCGTTCACCCTCCACTCTGCCAAAGTAAGTCCTTTCAAAAGGAACAGCTTTGGGGGCTTCTGGTCAAGAGAGCAGCCTAGGTAAATGCAGTACTCGCCGCCTCCCACCACATCAAAATTACAACTAAAATGGAGAACAGCCATCATGCAGAACCACCTGAAATCTAGCTGAGCAGGAATCCTACAACCAGGAAATTAGAGGAAGCACAACCAGACCGGTAGGAGGGGCGGGGCGTGGGGCAGGATGGGGGAAGTGGCTGGTCCCACACCCAGGTGAGGGGTTTAAAATCCGGAGGGGTACCTTGACTATGGAGGTTTCCCAGAGGAGGAGGTCCCAGCCTAGGGCTCCCAGGCCTGGAAGAGACGTCCCCACACCTCCGGGCTGTGAAACCAGCGGGGACTGTCTCTGAAGGTCGCGGAGGCCGCGGGGGCCCCAGCGGCTCCTCTAAAGGGCCCGGCACGGCCTCACTCGGACGTGCTCCTTCTGAGCCCAGCGCCGGGCAGCAGCCTGAAAGGACCCGGGACACTCGGGGAGGAACTAACCTGCCTGAAGTCGGGGCGAGAGCTGGCGGGGCGGCTTCCTCCCAGGCAGAGGGGCTGGCGGAGGCCACTGCTTTGAGCCCTCCCCGCAGAGCCAGCAGGCAGGCTCCGCACGTCTCCAACAACCTGGCTCCCACTATTCACCCCGCCAGCTGATTCCCTGAGAGCCCGCCCCTCCCCACCTGCAGGCTCATCCACGCCATTTCCACTGGCCTCTCAGCCTCATGCTTCGGGCTTTCCTGAAATCTCTCCCACAAGCAGCAGCTGGCCTCAGCGGGCCCCATGCCTCTCGATAAGCGGCCCCAGGCTGGGCACTGGCAGCAGCCTGCGTGGGCTCATAGCTGGGCCTCTCCGGGGCACCTCCAAGCCCAGCACAAGCAGCAGCCATCTGCAGGATGCTGTGTAGCTCATCCTGGGGGGCCCAGGGCAGGGCACAGGCAGCTGACTTTGCACCTCCCGGGAGGCCCCAAGACAGTGCACCCGGTGGTCAGCTTCAACCACACCTGAGTACAACCCTACCACACGCACGAGGGACACGCTCAAGCGGTGGACTCACTGAGCACCAAAGCCCCACTGAAGCAAATCCTTCCCCTTTAAATAAACCTCAGCATCCTCTTATATTTTGAAAGGCAGGATTTAAGCAAAGTATTTATGAGACAAAACAAAGAAAGGATCTAGGACTAACAGTAAGTAAACAAGTAACTGGAAAGAATTTATTTTGAAATAAGGAAGCTTAAGTATGCTGGACAGGGATTGTTTCAAGTATGCACTTTAAAAATGTTATATATAAATAAAAAATTTAATTAAGAGAGACAACATATCCTAAATGATGCTTTCTCAATCTTTAGTTTTACAAACTTCCAGAAAACATTTGTAGCATCAACAGTGCACTTTATTATACATCTCAGATTTAATATTTCATATATGCTTTTAAAGCTTCACTCAATAATTCAATACAAAATAAAGAATATATGCCGCAGTGGTTCTCAGGCATAGAATTTAGGAGAAGATTCGGGCAAGTTTTTTTCCCTAGCATATAGTGAATATTATGAACCATGATAGTAGAATGTTTCCTTCTGATTTAGCTGCCTTTCTGATTGAATTTTATTAGTGGACAGCTTTAGTAGGTATGAGGTTGCTAACTGTAAACAATGAATTTAAAATATTTTCTTGATGTCTTTAAGACCTAAATGAGTACTTTTCTCTACTAGAGCTCTAATATCTAATGAAAATAATATTGTCCATAAAATATCTGGAGCATCAGCCTAAGAACCACTGCCCATGGTTATTCAATGTCTTCAGGCCTCACAGGATGGGGTAATGGTATGATGGATTTCTTCTCAGTGTCCCTGGAAAGTGCTTTCCTCATATCTGTTAGGAAGCAAAGTTTAATGTAAGTTAAGTACCCAAATTTCAAAACATTTTATATCAAATTTAAAGTATATAGGCAAAGTTTCCATAAGAAGTTTTGTCCCTTCTCCACACTTTCACCAGATTCTAAGAGAAATGCCTTCATATAAGTGAGACTCAATCACAAGTAACCAGATGCTATCCAAAGTGCAACTGCGATTCAGCTCTTCATACAAATGTGCTTTTGACAAAAATTTTAGTAAAATAACATGCTTGTAACACAGTAAGACAATAACTGACAGTAATTAGCCACTGGCTAGTTAATATAAGCTAACTAGTGGTAGATTCATAAAGGCAGGTTAAAGGAAATTTCATTACAAATTGAATTTAAAATATTAATTCCAACAAAAATCATTCTTTTACGTTTATTAAAATAATTGAATATTTCTGTCTGTAGAACGAGTGTAAATATTCGGCTTTCCCCTGGGGATTCTGCCAGAGAAGAGAGCTTACCGTAAGCATCCTCGTCGGGCTCCCCGTTGCTGGCTGAATAGTACTCTATGACCGTCCTGTACACACTGTAGCCCAACTGCTTGTACATGTTGACCGCAACTTGGTTAGATACTCTTACAAAGAGATCAACAAAAAATCCACCTTTTCTTTAATTTTTTTAAAAAAAGAAAAATGTTAGAATGTAAGAAACCATAGAAAATAATACATATATTTTAAAAAGCAATACTTCCTTTTACTTAGTTTGACTACTACTCATAGAATGGTAGTAATAGGACCTTGCAGATGAACACATCATAAATCAATTTTTTAAAAATACTGCTGAGGGATAACAATTTCACTGTATAAAAATGACTGCATGCTAATATTTCAAACCCTATAATACTTATTTTCTTAAAATATAAATTTTAAAAAGCATTTGTTTTTTTACCACAATTCTGCTAACTGGCTCAGAAAAATTACTGTGTACTTTATGTAATAGTAATTGACATGCTCATTTTACCAGGTAGTCAGAATACTTTCACTCATTGGTCACAGCCTTGAAGACCTCAGGTCCCTGTGGTCAGTGACAGCCCCTCCTTTACCCACAGGTCTCCATGTCCTGATTCTTGTAATCATTAGCTCCTTCCTTTTTGCTATAGACCTGCCACCTATTAAGAGTTTAGTTCCTCCTGTTCATGAATCTTACATAAATGGAAACATGCTTTATGTCTTCCTTAGTGACATGCCTCTCCCGGCCAGTGCTGTGCGCGTCAGCCTGGGGTGGCTGGCGCTCGCCCATCGGCATTGTTCAGCAGCCCGCTGCAGGATGCACTACAAACTGTCCGTGGTCCCACAGGTAAACAGTTCCTGTTTCTACTATTACAAAGTCTGCTGCAATGAAGATTTCTGTTCTGTCTCACGGTGTGATGTCTAGTCTACAGCTAGGAGTGTCATTGCTGGCTCACGGGGGACGCACATCTTCAACGTGAGTAGATAATGTTTCTCAGCCTGCCTGCACCACGGCACACTCCCGCAGAAGGGGGCAGACTCCAGGAGCACAGTGCCAAGGCTGGTATGATGGTATCTCGGGGTATTAATTGGCATTTGGGACTCCTAACAGGGCTGATATATTTTTGCTGGCCATTGAGAGTTCTTGTTCTGGAGACCCTCTGGTCTCACACCGTTTGCTTTTTCTCCCCCACGCTAGTTCACTATGGATTCTGGATATTCGACACTGTAAAGGATGTTACAAATCCTTTCCCGGTCTGCATATGTTTTTCCATTTCGTGGACTTTCTCATTATCTTTATGTATCTCTTGATGAACCCAGTTACTTCACTTCAAGGAACTTGAATATATGAGCCTTTCCTTTACAGCAGCATTTCTTATGGCTTGTTTCAGTAGTTCTTTTCTACCTTGAGGTCAGGGAGACACTCTCTTATATTAACTTCAAAGGGCTTTTTAATTTTGCTTTTCACTTCTAGGTTTTTAATAAATCTGGAACTGATTTGTATATAGTAAGATGGTAATCAGGGAAAAAATGTCCCACATGGATATCCAATTGTGCCACCAACTCTACTGAAAAGTGTGTCCTTTCAACACTCAAGACAACTGCCTCCTCTGAGCTATGAAAAAGTCCACGAATTCCTGGATCTGCTTCTCAGATTCTGTTCCACTGCTCTTGACAACTAATCCAGGCCTAGCACACAGTCTTACTCATTACAGCTTGATATATGAAGGGAAAAATCCACCCATTTTGTTTTCAGGAATATAGTTTCTCTTTTAGGCTCTTACCATTCCCCTCTAAGTTTCAGAATCAACAAAAAATACCTGAGATTTTTTTTTACTGCAATTACATTGGTTCTTTGAACCAATTACCAGTTTACTGTATCAATTCCTCTATGCCAAAGTGGTAGTTTATCTCTCCATTGAGAGGTCATCTTTAATGTCTCTCAATAAAGTTTTATAAACTTCAGAAATCTTGTGGCTTCTGTTAGATTTTTCCTAAGGGCTTAATGCATTCTGATGCCACTGCAAATGGCATCTTTTTCTAATTTTATCATTTATATAGAAATGCAATTGAAACTTATACTGATTTTATATACAAAAACTATGCTTAACTTTCAGTCTAAACTAGCAATTTTCAACCAGTATGCCATGGCTCACTGGTGTACTGGCAATAATTTTTAAAACATGCAATACCTGACTATTTTAGTCAGGGGCACTGACCTCTTTTCCCTTAGACTGTCAAAAAAATGACAACCAGCACAACAGCCCTCCAGTGTGAATGAATCAAAATTAAACCTATTTTTTTTTTGTCAGATCAGCAAAAATATATTTTTTGGTATGCCGCAGAATTTTAGTGATTAGTTTATGTGCCATGAGATAAAAAAGGTTGAAAGTTGCTGGTCTAAACATTTACTTGTAGATTCCTATGGGCTTCCTATCTACACAATCTTATCTGTGCAAAGTAAGTTTGTTTCTTCTCAATCCTCTTATCTTTTATTTTTCTTGGTTTACTGGTACTGTCTAGTTTTCCAGTATATTACTGAAGAGGGGCTGACTATAGATATCTTTTGTCTTGTCCCAGATTTTAAAAGGAAAGCATGCAATGTTACTATAGGTTTTTTGTAGATATTTTTTTCAGTTTAAGGAAGTTCTCCTCTTCTATTTCCTAGCTTGATCAAGATTTAATCAAGAATGAATACTGAATTTCATCAGAGCATTTTCTGCATTTACTGAGATAATAATTTATAGATTTTCCAATGTTAAAACCACCTTCCCCTGGTACAGCATCCTCTTTATGAACTGCTGAATCCATTTTACTAAGATTTTTCTGGGATTTCTGTATCTGTAATGAGATTTCCCTCAAATTTTCCTTTCTAATATTTCTTGTCAGATTTTATCAAGGTTATCCCAGCCTTAAAAAAAAAAAGATGAAAAATGTCCCTTCTCTGTGTAAAACTGATTACAGCAATTATTTCTTAAATAGAATGATAAAATTTTGCCAGAAAAGCCATAGTTTTCTATGTGGAAAGATTTTTGGCTACTGACTGAAATTCTTTAAGTCGGGTCAGCTCACAACCTATTTTTGTATTGCTCTCAGGCTAAGAATGGCTTTTTACAATTTTGAAGGATTGTTTAAATGTATGTGTGTGCGCGCGGGCGACTGTAATAGAGACCTTAGACAGCCCACAAAGCCTAAATATTTACTATCTGGCCCAGAAAAAATTTGTTGACCCCTGTTCTATACCCTTAATCAATTTCTGTCTGATATCATATCAATTAGAAAGATGCATGTTCAAACCTCCCATTACGATGATGATTTGTCTATTTCTCCATGTAATTTTGCCAAGTGTTGCATTTTTTACTTTGAATCTATGTCACTGGGTACATACAATTATTATTACATCTTCCTGATTGATTAAATCTTTTATCAATATGTAATGACTCTTTTTAAGCTGGTAATTATTGAACTATAATGTGACAGTTGTTCATTTAAGTGTACCAACTGTCTTTTGGTTAGAATTTACGTAATTTAAAAAATTTACTTTCAATCTTTCTGTATCTTTAATCTTTACACATATTTCCTGTAAAAAGAATAGAGTCCTGACAGTCTCCTTTTTTTCCCCAATTTTAAATTTTATTTCATAATACCACATAAGATCTTAATAAACTGTAAATGTACAATAATACATTATTGCTGACTACAGGTACAATATTGTGTAGCAGACTCTAGAGCTTATTCATGGTGCTTAACTGAAACTTCATGTTTGCTGATTAGCAACTCCCCACTTCCCCCTCCTCCAGCCCTTGGCCACCACCATTCCACTCTCTGATTCTATGAATTTAATTATTTTAGATACCTCATGTAAGTGGGATCATGCAGTATTTTGTCTTTCTGTGACTGGCTTATTTCACTTAGCATAATGTTCTCAAGTCTTTGTCTTTTAATTGGACTCATTAGTCCATTAACATTTACCGTTGTAATTACAGACAATATTTAGATTCACAGTTACCATCTTATTTAATGCTTATTTATTCTGTCACTTTAATTTCCTTTTTTTTCTTCTTATGAAGTGATTTCTGTCATTCTATTTTTCTCTACTTGTTTTGAAGTTATATACTGTTTCTATTTTTAATGTATACATTTAAAAATACATGTATATATGCATGGATGGATCTGGTATACACACACACACACCCATACAAATAAAGATCACTTAAATCTTAGGTATTCTTAAGGACTAGAGGTGATTCCTTTTTCAGCTAACACTACTATTTCCTCTCTTCTCTGAATGAGCTCGAGCTCTTCTTGCCACCAACTTGGCTAGGAGCACTTTCAAGCCATGGTTACTGCTTTAAAACTTACCTTTATTAAGTCCACTAATTAAGTACAAAGCCTCAAGTGCTTCTCAGTAGCTATTTCCTTTCCTGGATACCTCTAAGCATTTAGAGTAAAGGAAAAAAGGCAGCTTGACAACTAGTTAAACTCACACACATATCTCTTATCACTTCTAGAATGGGCTGGCAGGAGGGGTCCTATCTTTAAATTATCACATTAATCTCACATAATGAGGATGTTTTATATATACAACAGGTGTTTATTAAAAAGCCATAATGTTGGCAGTTCCCAAAACTGCTCCAGGGCACCCCAAGAAGCCCAAAACTCAGAGATGCTGTAGGATATTTCAAATGTTAAGGGAAAACACAGGCAAACCTTACATATCCGACACTAGCAAACTACTAGTTTGATGTAGTTAAAAAATACAACATTACATCATGTTACATTCCTTTGATTACAATATCTTTATGAATCCAGGTTTGGGGCAGTTCCTATGTTAAAAAAAAAAAGTGCCACATGAAAACCGAGGTGAAATCGGAATGCAGGTGGTTGTGTCGATCCATTTCCAGGGTTAGAGAAGCCATACAATACCCAACAGGTACAAATATCTTATTAGTTGATAGCCACAATTATTTAACAATGAAATAAAAATATTTTTCTTTCAATTTGTTTATTTTTTTTCTAAATAGCTACTAGGCTGTTAAGCCATAAATACTTATTAATCAGCTAGGGAATAAATGCTTAAGATTAAACTGTTTCCTTTTGCCAAGGGGCACTATAAACAGAGGATTTCAGAATATCTCCCATCATGGCAAAAACATTAAAAAAACCTTGAGGGGTAGTCTTTAATTCCACCAAGTACCCAGCTTGTGGCAGGTCACTTATTTTGCTTTAATTTCCTCAGTGGCAAAATACGGACCATAATACCATTCTAAATATGTGACAAAATTGTTGTGAAGACTACTGGAGGCTAAACATGAAATTCCTGTAAACTGTAATGCATTATATTTATTCAGCCTGAAGAAAAAAAAAAGTCTTATAAGTGTTCACAAAGAGAAAAATCAAATAGTCAGGGTTCACAAATCATTATTAGAAAAGCAGGATCTCACCTTTCTGAAATCTCCTCTAATAACTCCATAAGTTTTGCAGCCAAACCAAGGCGTCGAAATTCTGGGGCAACAGACAGAGCTGTGACGTGCCCGTGCCATTCCTCCCTAGCAACTGAGCCTTCTGCTTTACCCATAACTGCCAACAAAAGATTGCATTCATTAATGAACACATGGGTTTACAAATAAATACAGAATTACTGTTGGTACATTTTTATAATAAATAAAACTAATGACAGAGTTTTAATTTTTAAATCCTACTTAAAGTCATCTACCTAATGGTTAATAGTGCTTTTATTTGAATTTCACTTGTAAATGCCATACTAAATTAGAAAGTTTTTTTTAAAGGAATGATATACTAAAAACATAACTGATTTTGAACATAGAACCAGAATATGTATTTTTTAAAAGATCTACATTTCACATGGGTATTTATGTGTGTGGGTAAGTATGAATGTATACATAACTGAGACAATCCACAGCTGAGTTTTGTTAGTAATGCTACTCAACGAAGATGCTACAATCCTGTATTATGTACCAAATAAACTATGTAGAAACTTAACATATAGATTGAAAGATCCAAGAAGACTGAGACTGTGTTTGTTTGGTTCACTGTTGTATCACCTGGGCCTAGCACAATGCCTACAACATAGAAGTGATGGATCAGTATGTTGTCTCGTGGTTGAAAAGGAAATAAAATTATAGACATCTTGATTATGCGGTTTCAATTCTTTATCAATCTAAATCAGTTGAAACCTGTATTAAAATCTTAACTACCTATCCAAAACAGTACTAGTGGTATTATACTTACTATAGCCCATTAACTCTCCGCCAGGTGCCTCTGCAACGATGAAATACTCTGGCCAATGGGCGAGGTACTGTAAGTAAAAAGGAATCCCATACTAGAGTCTTGTTAAGGAGTATGAAAAGTGATGGGCAGTAACAAGTTCTTCATAAAGGGATAGTTTAAAGAAAATTTTCTTTAAAAAGTATGTTGTAACTTTATCCCCAGCTCTATATATTCATGTTTTCTATAATCATATCATTATGTGAATATTTAGGTTAGCAATAACTTTAATAATTGACCTGAACATACCACCTCAAGTGTCAATGGACAGTGCACCAACTAACAGAAAGCGGAGAACCAGGACTTACTGTATCTAAATCTCCGCACAAGTACTCATCCTCACCAGATATTCTTATTTGTTTACAATCTGTCTCCCCTTAGACTATGAGTAATCTCTCCATCCCTGGCACTTCGAACATGGATGCTCAGTAGGTTTATTTTTCCATAATTGCACTGGAAAACTAATGACTGGTTTCTACTTTCGCTTCAGCTATGAGACTGTGAACATAACTTTAAGTACTTCCTACTTGTCTTTTATTTGGTAAATTATGAACTGGTGTAAATTTGTACAGTTCATGTATACCGACTGTGGCAAAGTTATATAGATTTCTATATTTTTGGATGAGAAATTTTTCTTTTCTCTATAATAAATTATTTCCTATTTTAGAAAAAGAAACAAAAGACAACTCCTGTTCCCAGTTGTTTATTTAAATTGCTTTCGATGTTGCTTACGATGTTTCCTGACTTACAAGTTTTAAAGTTTTTCAGTACTTGTCTATTTTCTCCCTTTGTTTCTCTGTTTTCCTCACTCTTAGTAAGCCTTCATTTAACTTTTTTAAAAAAGGATACAGTTTCTGTAAGTGGATCCAAGTTACTGAAAGAAATGAGAAATGTCAGTAGTAAGCAGTATTTACAAAACCGGTTTAAATAAGCTCACTAAAACTAAAAATATGCACAAAGAAATGAAAACATGCTAAATCCACTTTAAAACCAATGTTAGGGCTAAGGAAGATGGTTTAAATTACCTAATGGCCATATTGCATAGTTATAGTTGCAAAATTGTTTTTATTGTGGTGAGAACTTTTAAGGTCTACTCTCTCAGCAACTTTTAAATATGCAATACAGTATTATTAATTATACTCACCATATTATCCATTACATGCCCATGACTTATTTATTTTATAACTGGAAATTTTGTACCTTTTTACTCCCTTCACCCATTTCACATGAATAACTTAAAACAATTTGTGTGCAACCACAAAGACCCCCAAATAGCCAAAGTAATCCTGAGAAAATTAACAAAGCTAGAGGTATCAGACGCCCTGACTTCGAACTATACTACAAAGCTATAATGGCAGAAAAACAGACACATAGACCAATGGAACAGAATTAAGAGTCCAGAAATAAACCAACACATATATGGGCAACTAATTTTTGACAAAGGAGCCAAGAATATACAATGGAAAAAGGAAATGGTGTTGGGAAAACTGGACAGCCATATGAAAAAGAATGAAACTAGACTATCTTATATCATACACAAAATTAATTCAAAATGGATTAAAGATCTGAATGTAAGTCCTGAAATAATAAAATACAAAGAAGACGACATAGGCACTAAACTTATGGCCATTGGTCTCAGAAGTGCTTTTGTGAACTTGATCCCAAATGCAAGTGAAATAAAGCAAAAATAAATGGGACTACATTAAACTAAAAACTTCTGCAAAGCAAAAGAAACCATCAACAAAACAAAAAGGCAACCAACCAAATGGGAGAAGACATAAAGAACTCATAAAACTTAACAAAAAAAAAATCCAATAAAAAATGGGCAGAGGGCCTGAACAGACCCTTTTCCAAGGACAACATCACTGGTTACTAGGGAGATGCAAATTAAAACCCCAATAAGCTATCACCTCACACCTGGGAGAACGGCCGGCCGGCATCAAAAATACAAGGAATGTATGTGGGATGTAGAGAAAGGAGACCCTCTTGTACTGTGAGGCTTAAATGTTATTTCCAGCGCCAGCTGCTTTGGCTCAGGGGTTAGAGTGTTGGTCCAGGGTTCTGGCCACCCCTCAGTTGCAGGCTTGGCCCAGGTCTGCACTGGTGTGGGAGGCAACCAGTTCATGTGTCTTTCTCACATCGATGTTTGTTTTTCTTTCTTTCTCTCTCCCCCTCTCTCCTTCCCTCCCTTCCACTCTCTCTGAAAAGCCATGGAAAAAATATCGTCAGGTGAGGATTAAAAAGAAAAGTTATTTTGGTGCCAGCGCTGAGAACTGCCACAGCTCAACACAAACTGCCTTAGTTATGGGGCTTCAAGG